GCACACGAACACCTCCCTCCCCCCCCCCCCCCCTATCCCCCCCCTCCCCACCGCCACCAATTGCCTCGTCGCTTGGTGGCTGCTGTGGCCATGGATTCGGGGAAGTGTGGTGACTTGGTCGTCGATGGTGGATTACTGTGCTGCTGGCTTTGGATGGATTTGGTTGCACACTGTGTGTTGCCGCCATGGCTTGGGCAAGGATGGTGGCTTGGTTAGGCTGAATGATGGCTTGGGCTCGAGATCTTGGCTGGTGTGATGGACGTTTGATGCTAGCCGCTGCTGACGGAACTGCCTCGGTCTTGGGACTGGGTGCTTGGGACTGCAGGCTGCTGCTGGCTCTGCCTTTGGCTGTGGACTGCTCACTGCTGTCGCTTCAGTCGCGGCTTTTCTCCTACCTTGGTCTACCCTGCCCCGCTCCGCCTAGAGCATCAGCCTCATCTGCTTATCCTAGATGCCACATAACCCCCCCCCACCACCACCACCACACTCACTCACTCACTCGCTCCCCCCCCCCCTATCCGTAGGACTCGATCCTCGCCCCGTAAGCAAGCATCGAACAATAAAACAGCTGCGACGCCACAAGACCAAAGCAAAGTTTACCATCCATCCCGTGCTCTTCACGTCGAGCTTGCGACAGGCACGCCGTCGCGCTCGACAATGTCTTCAAAGGCTGAGAGGAGCCGGACGGCATCCTGGTAGATGTTCGAGTCCTCACGATTGTAGGCCATGGCATTGGTAAAGATGAGCCGGACGTCGGCGACAAACGCGCGCCACGTCTTGAATCGCGACGTCTCGAGCTTGGCCATGATCTGCTGGAGACTGCGCGGCCGCTTGATGAACCGGTAGTAATCGGCGTAGAGGGCCTTGGACGGGAGGACCTCGAACGGGTCCGAGAGTGTCCGGGAGAACGCCTCGTCACCCTCGCCCTCCTCGACCGTCACCTGGCGAAGCTCCTCGATCATCGCCTGCGCCTTGGCCCGCCACTGCGCAATCGGCCCTGCACCCGAAGACTCACCACCGTCGTCATCGTCAGACTCGCCGCCACGCTTCTTCCTGCCCAAGGTCTTCTGCCGCTTCGACGGCCGCGACGCCGAGCTTGCCCGCGACGAGCTACTCCGCCCGCGCCCGCGCCCACGTCCACGTCCGCGTCCGCGCCCGCGCCCGCGCCCGCGCCCGCGCCCGCGCCCGCTGCCAGCGCTCTTCCGCCGGCCGGTGGCCGTCGACCGCCGCGGCCGGCGGCGGCCGTCGCCACCAGACGACGACTCGGGGTCAAACTCGGAGCCTGCTCCGCCCGACTCGTCGTCATCCGAGCCGGCCTCGGCGGCGTGCCGGCCACGGGTCGTCCGCTTCCGCTTCCGCTTTGACCGTTTGCTGAGGATGTAGTCCTGGATCTCCTCCTCGGTCATGCCCGAGTCGAGCATCTCGGCAAACTGGTCGTCGGTGATGCCGTCGTTGTAGATGACGTCGGCACCGCGCGACCGCTTGCCCTTGCCCATTTCCTGGGCCATGACCCGCCGCGTCGCCTCGCGTTCGGCATGCAGCGTCTGCTCGGTCAGCCACTCGGGGAGCTCGGTCTTGGTCATGAGCGGCGGCTTGCCCTCCAGCGCGTTGCGGTCGCGCCGCGCCGCCGCCAGACGCGCCAGTTCCGCCTCCTTGTCCATCCGCTCAAAGAGCTCGTACTGAACAGGCGTCCGCGCAATGAGCTCGTTGAGCTCCGACGCCGACGGCAGGTCGTCCGGCGCACGCTCGGAGATGTCCTGCGAGATGATCTGCTTGAGCATCTCGCGCCGCTCCTCGGCCGACGACTTTTGGTTAAACTTGCCGGCGCCGATGACCATGGCGTCCATCTCGAGCTTTTCGAGCGCCCGAGCCAGAATGTGCTCCTCCACACTGTTCTGCGTGATGAGCCGGAAGATCCGGACCTGCGTCTTCTGCCCGATTCGATGCGCACGGTCCTGCGCCTGCAGATCGGCGTGCGGGTTCCAGTCAGAGTCAAAGAGAATGACCGTGTCGGCCGACTGGAGGTTGAGCCCGAGCCCGCCGGCGCGGGTCGAGAGGAGAAAAACAAAGTACGGCGAGTCCGGCGCGTTGAACTTGCGCAGCAGCTCGCCGCGGTCGACGTTGCGCGTCGAGCCGTCGAGTCGGATGTAGGTGTAGCCGCGGAAAATGAGAAAGTCCTCCAGCACCGTCAGCAGCGCCGTCATCTGCGAGAAGAGCAGGACTCGGTTGCCGAGCACCCGCAGCTTGCGGAGCAGGTTGTCCAGCAGCGCAAACTTGCCGCACGACCGCACAATGTTGAGGTCCGTCACTTTGGGGTCCGCGTCCGGGAACAGGTACGGGTGGTTGCACACCTTGCGCAGCTCCATCAGCACGTTGTTGAGCGCCTTGGGCCCGCCGGCATTGACCACCTCGCGGTTCGAGAGCCGCTTGTACAGCGCCTTTTGCACCGACGACATGTCGCACTTGAGCACCGTCTCCACCTTGTCCGGCAGCTGCTTCGCCACCTCCTTCTTCAGCCGCCGAAGCAGGAACGGCCGCAGCACCTTGTGCAGGCGGTTGATGATGAGCAGCGTCTCCTCTTCGTTGAGCTCGAGCGACTCGCCGGTCTTTTCAAACGGCGCGTTGAACCACTGCTCAAACGTGCCCGACGAGCCAAACACGTGCGGGAGCAGAAAGTTGAGGAGCGACCAGAGCTCCTGCAAGTTATTCTGCAGCGGCGTGCCCGTCAGAATGAGCCGCCGCTCCGTCCGGTAGTCCTCCGTCAGCGTCATCGTCAGCTTGGCCTTCTTCGACTTGACTCGGTGGCCCTCGTCGATGATGATGTACTTCCACCCAAACTTGGCCAGGCTCGACGCATCCTTGACCACAAACGTGTACGTCGTGAGGCAGACGTGGAAGCCCTCAGCCACCATCTTGTTGTACGCCGCCCGCCGCGTCTGCTTCCGGCCTTTGTACGCCACAAACTTGAGCGAGGGACACCACTTGTTCATCTCGTTAACCCAGTTGGAGACCGTCGAGAGCGGGACCACAATGAGGAACGGGCCGGGCAGCTTCTTGACATCCATCAGGTACGTCACCAACGCGAGCGTCTGGATCGTCTTGCCCAGTCCCATCTCGTCGGCAAGAATCCCGTTGAGCCCGTTGTTGTACAGCGAGACCAGCCACTCGAGTCCGGCAATCTGGTAGCCCTTGAGCGTCCCGCCCACAAGCGACGGACTCTGCCGCGTCACAACCTCCTTCACCGAGTGGATGTTCTCGTAGTAGTTGATCCCCGCCCGCGCCGTCGTCAGGTCTTCCGCAGCCGCAGCTGCCTCCTCATCCGTCGCCGCCACAGCGCCTTCCGAGGTCTCTGGGAGTGGTGCCGTCCCGAGCGCAAGCTCGCCGGCCGCCGCTGCCGCCGCCGCCTCGGCCTCCACACGCCGCTTCTCGCGTGAGAGCACCTGCCCAATCTGCGCGAGGTAGTCGTCGGTCTGGTCAAGCAGCGACTTGAGCCGCTCGTTCTTGGTCTCCTCCACCAGCTGGCGGTACGCCTCTTCATTGTTCTCCTTCAGCAGCCGGATCCGCTCCCGCTCGGCCCGCTCCTGCTCCAGCTCGGCCGCCTTCTTCTTGGCCTGGTGGTACTCGAGCACCGCCGCGCACAGCAGCCGCCGCGCCGTCGTCCGCAGCTTGCCCGCCTCCACCATCTCCTTCCGCCGCTCGGCCACAGCTTCCAGCAGCGCCTTCTGCTTCTGCTCCGCAATCATGTCGAGCGCAGAGCTGAGCGTCCGCTCCGAAATGGCCGTCGAGCCCGGCACAGCCTCAATGAGCGTCGGCCGCGCAAGCTCGTAACGGTGCGCCCGTGCAGACGCAATCCGCGCTGCCCGCTGCTGCTGCCGCGCAAGCGTCTGCCGCGTGTTCTGCTGAACGTGGAACGCCATAAGCTGCGCAGTCTCAACCTGCAGCTTGCGCACCGTCGTCTCGTCCAGCGACGCCTCCAGCGGGAAGCTCTGCAGCTCGTCCAGCCGCCCACGCAGCCGCTTGCGGAGCATCGACTCGCGCTTGTTGGCGTCCGGCTCGCGGAATTTGGGCCACGACCCGGGCAGCAAGCCTCCCATCCCGTCGGCCTCGGCCTCTTCCGCGTGCGCCCGTAGCTCCATCAGCACCTCGCGCGGCACAGATGCTCCGCGAACAAGATGCCGATACGCCACAGCCTGCTGCTGCAGCCGCGCCGCCGCAGTCGGCTGCCACACTTCGACCTTGCTCGCACGCAGCGACTTTTGCTGCGCCAGAAGCGCCTCTAGCGTCTGCCGCCGCGAGTCTTCTTTGGGAATGCCATACAGCTCCATGTGTTGCAGCATCTACACTCCATCCAAAGAGACAGACATAGAGAGAGAGCATGATATCCGAGCATATACCCGTAGTACACACACCCATACCCATACCCATACCCATACCCATACCCACACCCACCAGACCACAGACACAGCCACCAGCCCACAACCCACACAAAACCAACCAGAACATAGTGAGCAACCGTCCCACAACATACCCCATCGCCCCTCCCTGTGCTATCCCTCCTCGCTATCCCCATCCCCCCTCCCTCCCCCTCCCCGCCCCCCCCTCCCGCCCTCCCACCCTCCCGCCCTCACGCCCCCGCTATCCCCACCAGGTTGATCTTGACGACCACTCCCTCCGCTCCGCCCGCCCCCCCGCAGACCCACCACCACACCTTCCTCACCACCAGCAGCCACCACTCCATGACTTAATCCTTGAACCATACCCATTTCCTACATGCATATATAGGTAGGGCCGTCCGTACAAGGGCAAGGGAGGGAGGGAGGGAGGGAGGGAGGGGGAGGGGGAGGGGGAGGAGGAGGAGGACCAAATTCTGAATCTACCCACATACCCCCGCCCACACACCCTCTAGCACACACACACACACACACACAGCACACACACACACACACACACAGCACACACACGCCAGTGGTACCTCACCCGAACCCACCCTTCACATACACACACACACATAATGCTACACTGATACATACCTGCCGCATGTTGGAATACTGTTCATCTGTCACACGTGGCAACTGCTGTAGCTCGGACGAGTCCATGGCTTCAACACGTCGACGAGTGTGTTTCGTCCTGTCCAAGTAGGGGAGGAGGGAATGGTGAGGGAGGAGGGGGGGGGGGAGGGAGGCGGGAGGGGTTTTTTTCTGCGCTTGCCGTTTTTCGGCTTGTTGTTCTTCACCACGCATCAGCCGTATGTTCGAAGAAGAGGGTTGACGTGGGTAGCATACCACTACATGGTAGAAATATAGCATGTTCTTTGTCTGAGGGTCTCTGTTGCAGCCTATGTGGTTGTGTTTGCGTTGTATTGGCTTCAGAAGCTTGCGTTGACAGGATCCGCTGCAAGCAGCAGCAAGAAATAATGATGCCTTCAAACTCTACCTGCCCGCTCGTGCCTCACACAAGCACACCACAACCTATGTGTTTCCACTCACGTCCTTGTCAACTCATTTCATCTCTCGCAGGCAGAACACGTGTGTCGCGGCGGGTCGCGGATGACACACTTTCCGGTTGGACGGCTCACTTGTCAAAAAGTGTCGCACTCGGATGCGTTGACAAAAAGCAACACCATTTCCTCACTCCTGCACAGCGTCCTCCACGCCACAAGTTCAGCACCAGCTGATCTACCACATGTGGCTCTCGACAACTTATGTCTGGAGCTTTGCCAGTGTTCAGGGCTTGACTGTTGCCGCATGCGAGGCGCTCGCGCTCACGCAGCTGCTGTACGTCGCGACCACGGTCCGCGTTGCGGCAGAGCATGACGTCAATGCGTATGCCGCTCTCACGCTCATGCTCGTTCTCCCTGCCATTCCCAACGTCGTTCTTTCTGTTGCTGCTACCATCTCGGCTCGCATCTGGTGGGCCAAAAGCGGTCTCTCGCCCGTCATCGCCATCCCCAACGTCGCGACCGGCACCGCCCCAAAAACCGGATCGTTCGGCGATGCATGGAGCGCCAGCCGCTACGACTTCTCCCACGGCCACAACCACAAGCCAAGCGTCGTGGCTCATGCCACGCTCTTTGCGCCTCAGAGGCCAGAGAATCCTCCGTCAAACGAAGACCGGGTCGCTGGTGCTGGCGCGTCGGCGCCTGTCGCCGCGGCTTCGCCTGCCGCCACGCCCACGTCAGCTGCCGAGCCGAACCGCATCGTCATGACCCTCTTCTTCCTCTTCTTCACCATTGGCCAGCCGATTGGCCTCGCCCTCATGTGCTTGATTGTCCTTCCGAGCATGGAGAACCCGTGGGCGGCGTATGCGCTTACGCTCTCGGCCCCGCATCTGGCCGGCTCGCTGGTAACCTTTGTCGCCCTTATCGCCGTCGTCTTTGTTCGCGCTCGCGGACACGCCGGCGCGGTACCGATCGACATGCGCCTCAGGACCACCCTTGTCCTCAGCTTTCTCGCCTTTACCACTTACACCATTGGTGCTATTCTCGCATCGGCCAAGCATGTCCACGCCTCGTCTGCTGCGCTCGTCTTTGGTATCGTCCTCATGTCTGCCGACACGCTCGTCAACTCGGCGCTGGTCACAGCCGCCTCGAGCCCCTCCTCTCCGAGCGCCGCCGGGTTGTCGTCGGCATCCTCTCGCTGCTGCAGGTCATCTTCTTCCTCCTCATGGCCTGGCTCGTAGGCCACTACCTGTACGGCTTTCACTCGGCTGACATGTTCCGCGCCTTCTTCTCCATCAGCTCCAACCGTTTCTGGATCAACATTGTCTTCGAGGCCGTCGCCATCGCCATCGTCAACTTTGGATTCTGGGCCGGATCCGTCGCCGGCCTCCAACTCACCACCGCCGCGGCTCTGGTTCTTTTCTCGCCTGTCCTTTTCGCTGTCACTCACTCGACATACTGCGACTACACCTGGACTGGTGAGTGCGGCTGGGGCGACGAGCTCGTCTCGGACGGCGCCCGCGCCTCTGTCGTCATTTCCATCGTACTCGGATGCATGGCATCATGTCTCTCCGCCACCCTTTCGCTCTCGCCAGGCCTCCTCTCGCGCAACCTCTCCGCCAGCGCCACCGGTTCCGACTGGTTCTTGCCCACCTATCCCGGCGTCTTCCCCGGTGCTTTTCTTCTCTCCAACGCGCGCAAGCACCCTCCAGCGCCGGCAACTGTCGTAACCCCGAATGTTACCTTGACCGAAGGGTACTCTCCTATTGAGAGCTCGTTCCGCGGCTTCTCCCACAACACGCACCCCAAGGTCGTCATCACCGTCTCCACTCTCTGGCACGAGACGCGCGAGGAGATGACCCAACTACTGATCTCGATCTCATCGACGCTCCGGCGATTCGACGACAGGGATGCAAACGCAGGCCGCGCCTTTGCCTCCAACATCGAGAGCCACCTTGTTCTGGACGACGGCATCCGCAAGGGCTCATTCTCTTCTTTCGCCTACCAGCTCATCGATGTCATCTCGCCGCTCGCCGTTCCCGTCTCTGGCTTCAAAACGACCAGCTACGGCGCGGTCCAGCAGTGGAAGGTCGGCTCGGCCTCGCTCTTTGTTCACTTCAAGGACCCGACCCGAGTGAAGCAGGGCAAACGCATGTCACAAGTCCTCTACCTCAACATCATCCGCAAGCGGCTCGCTCATCTGGACTCGATCATCACTGGCGGCGGTCACATCGACCTGGCGAACGTTTTTCTCTTCCTCACCGATGGCGACACCAAGTTTGGCGCCGATGACGTCGTTGTCCTCCTGGAGGCCGCTGTCAACGAGGCCGATCTTGGTGCGGTCTGCGGACGAATCCAGCCGTTGGGCGAGGGCATCATGGCCATGTTCCAGCGATTCGAGTACCTCGTATCGCACTGGTTCGGTAAGGCTGCCGAGAACCTGTTCGGCACCGTTCTCTGCTGCCCAGGCTGCTTCTCGATGTACCGCGTCTCGGCGCTGTACTCGGTGCTTGACGAGACGGACGCGGCCACCTCGCTCGCTGCGCTCTACTCGCAGCGCGCCAGCAGGCCACGCGATAAGCTAATGATGGACATGGGCGAGGATCGGTGGCTCTGTACCCTTCTCATCCTAGCCGGCTGGCGGCTCTCCTACCGCGCGTCGGCTGTGGCCCAGACCTTTGCGCCCGAATCGTTTGAGGAATTCTGCAAGCAGCGCAAGCGCTGGAACCCATCGACACTCGTCAACGTCCACGAGCTTGTCTCCAAGTGGCATTCATCGCGGACCTCGACCTCGCTTGCCTTTCTCATCTACGTCATCATCGTCCTCTACATCTCGTATGTTGCGCCGGCCACCGTTGTCGTCCTCCTCGCCAGCGGCCTCTCCTATGGACTTGGCCTTCCGCTTCACGTGGCGGCACTCAGCTCCATCGCCATCCCTACTCTCTACGCTCTGATATGCATGACCTGCAAGTCTGACACTCAGATTGCGTGGGCCAAGTACCTCTCGGCGCTGAGCGGCGCGCTGATGGCCGCCGCCGTCGCCGGCTCCATTCTCGAGATGGTCACTGCTCCGACCTCGCCGACCTCGATCTTTGTCTACACCACCGCAGGCATGTTTCTCATTGTCGGCATCATTCACTTTCGCTCGTCGTGGCCTACGGTCTTTGGTCTGCTGTACCTGTTTATGGTCCCCATGGCTTTCCTATTTGTCAACATGTTCGCCATCAACAACCTCGACGACTTTTCCTGGGGCACCCGCGACAGCACCTCCACCGCCTCTGCGAGCAAGCCCAAAACGATACGTGAGTACTCCATCAATTTGCTCCGTCTTGTTGCTCGCGTCTGGCGGGCGCTCTTGTGTTGCGCGACCGATGAGCCTTTGCTTCTTACCGCCCCGCCTGATATGGCTCCGGCTTCGGCCGTGCCGGTCGAGCTCTGCGCCGCCACAGCTCGCTTTGCCGACGGCACCGGTCACGAGCTCAGGTTCGAGATGAGCACTCTCGCGTGGTGTGTCGAGTACATGCCCGATCTCGACGTCAATGACGTGGTGCTGGAGCTGGTCGCGCCGAGTGTGGTCAGTGTGGCCAAGGCCGCTTGCAACGCACCACTTGGGACGCGCGTTGAGTGCGACAATGGGCTCGTCACTGTTGCCACCGATTCTGATGTCTTCGCTCAGAGCTCTGTGGTGCGGATCGATCTCATTGTAGAGGTGGCGGCAGTGGGCGACGAGCCTCGCTCCTCTCAATCGCTGCGTCTGATTCTCGTGCAGCAGCAACCAGCTGCTGCACTTTGCCTCGCCCTTCTCGCTTTCGAGGGTGGCAACGCCGTCGGAAGGAATGCCGTGATCCAGAGCGAGTTCACCGCCCTTCAAGACCTCGCCCTCCAAGACCTCGCCCTTCATCAATTTGTCTCCTGGCCCGCTACGCCAGCGCGGCCGAGCCACGCAACCATTGCTCTTCGCAATAGGAACGAGCTCGGAGCCTCATCGCACGCCTTTGTGACAACCTTTGTGAATGGAACCATCACCAGTGAGCCGTTCGAGGTCCGATGGGCCGGCGAGGCCGGGCAGCAGACGTTCCAGAGCCAGCCACTGCTGCTCCCGCAGCTGATCAACGGCCGACAGCCGCAGCAGTATATCGTCGATGTGGTGGTCTCGGCCGTCCCACCGCAGGATCTTGTGGACCTCGGCAAGGTCAAGCCCGGTGACGCCAACGGCGACACGCGGATGCTTGGCCTCTACGCGCTTTCGGCGGGCTTGGACTTGCTGTGGGCGCACCACATGACGATCACCATTGGAATCAGCAATGCGGATAATGCTGGAGCCATCCACGCCGATGTTGTGCCCAACTTTGGCGATCCTCTGGATGATACCGAAGATCGCCTGGACGCGCACGACGCGGTCTACCTGGGTGCGCTCTACGACCCAATGCTTGACGCACGGCGCGGCCCCGGTGAGCAGCGGTTGCTGAGCGCGCACCGCGCGCGATCCGAGCGTGAGCTGCAGGATGAGACCCGGAAGCTGAGGCTCAACTTTGTCGGCGCCTTTGTAGCCGTCAACGTTCTCTGGGTTGCCCTCTTCCTCGCCTTTTCGCTTGACAGCAACCTCTCGGTCCGCATCTGGTCAGGCAGCAAATCATCATCGCTTCCTGGCCTCATCTTTCTGGTCATCGCGCTCTCGGTCATGATCGTGCAGTTCTTTGCGCAAATTGTCATGGCGGTGTGCGACCATCTTGACGACGTCTCGTATCGAGTCCGTGACGTGCTGGATGGCCAGCCTGGCCGTGTCGCTCTGATCATCCCGTTTGTCATCCAGCTCGCCATGGTAATTGTCTATTGTGTGATCGCATTCTCACACTCGCCCACCACCGTCTTTATCACCATCACCGCAGGCCTCTTCGTCTCGCTCAGTCTCCTCCTCTGCTTTTGCGTCATCTCTCCGCGCGACAGACGCCAGCAGCTTGATCCATCGAAGCGAATTCCGCGCCTTCTCGGCGGCCCGATCCAAGTGACCCTACACCCCCACCCGTCCGGCTGATAAACGACATTACGTCACCCAATAGCAATCCCATCCCCACACCACCATCCCAAGTCGTGATCAGCTGGAGGCTGGCAGTGGGCAAGCGGTCATCGACGAGCGATCGTCGGCGAGTGGTCAGCAAGTAGAGGTCGGTAGGTAGTGGTCGGCGAGCGATCGGCAAGTCGTCGGCGAGCAGTCGGCAAGTAATGGCCGGCGAGCGGTCGGCGGTTGGCGGTGAGCGATCGGCAAGTCGTCGGCGAGCAGTCGGCAAGTAATGGTCGGCAAGTCGTCGGCGAGCAGTCGGCGGTCGGCGGTCGGCGGTCGGCGGTCGGCGTTCGTCAAGAAGACCATCCAGCCATCCATCTCGGAGTTGAGCCAAGCTACGCCTCTCTCCAGGGATCATACGGAGAAGCAGCGAGTGGCTGTAGCAAGAGAGAGTACCCACAGCTATCTAGTTGTAAGGACGAGGATAGAGTACAACATGGAGACTACTTTGTCACCGCTTGCCTCGTATGCTGCGCCTGTGGTGGGAGCTTGCATGTCGCCTTGCCTGGGTCTGGCGGCAGTCACGGTTGCTGCGGAAGGTGTTTATCTGTATTCATTGACAGATGGTCGGATGAGGGCAAACTGGACGGCGGCTTCAAAGCATACCTTTTCTGCTCATGCAGTCATTGTCCCTGCTTCTGCAATCGAGTCGAAGAGCAACGATGTGTCAAACTCGAGTGCCTCGTCATCGACGAGGAACAGCAAGAAGACGACGGCCGAATCTCTCTCCTCGCCAGAGCCTGATGCCACTCCCTCGCTTCTCGCAGCTCCGGTGGACAAGGGCGCAGCTCTTTTGGTCTGGGATCTGCATCATTCTGCTGCCCGCCTGGATGATGCCTCTACAGTCGGCCCGCCGCCGTCGCGCTCGTCTCGGGGCGCAAATGACATGGCGGAGGAGAGCGACAACGACGATGCAGAGTCGGGAGGCCAGGGCATGATGCTCGCCCCGACCCTGGCCCGGCTGTCGTTCAAGCTGAGCAAGATGGTGGCGCTCTCGCGTGGCGCGGTGGTTGTCTTTAACTCGGCCCGTGCCGTGGGCGTGCTCTCGTACGACGCGCTGCTGCGGTCGGGCGCGGAGCGCCTGGCGCCTGCCATGACCAAGGACCTTGTGGCCAAGAACTCGCGGGTCCTCCTCCGCGATGTGGCCGGCGCGAGCGAGACTGGTGCCCGCCCCGTGGCGGTGGTGGCCGGCTGGGCCGCCCGTCGCAAGGCGCTGGAGATCGGTCTCGCTGTCCTCGACATGATGGTGCCCGAGGATGATGAGGCTACCGTGGCTGCCATGGAAGTCGAGGGCATGGTTGAGGATACTGCGGCGGCAGTGCCGCGGCTGACTGCCCGCAAGCTGGCCAAGGTCGTGGTGCCAGCCGCCGAGCTGCTCGCTGCCGCCGCCGCCGGCCGCGACGACGCCGAGCTCGACGTCGACGCCCTTAAGATTGAGATCGACGAGCAGGCGGCAACGGCCGCCACCCTGGCGCTGCTGGTCGTTGCACCCGGCCTCACCCCGGTCCGGCTCTTCGTCGAGCTCGACTCCGAGGCCGAGCAGCGGACCAAGCTGGTGGCTCTCGCGCCGCTGGCCGGCGGCCTTGGCAGCGGCGCAGGCGCGGTTGTCGCAGCCAAGACCGTCCACGAGTACACGGTGGCGGTCAAGGCGAGCTCTAACCAGAGCTCGGCTCTGGCGGTCTACGACACCGCGTACGGCACACTGCAGAGCCTCGACGACCTGCCCAGCAAGTCCGGTCTCTTCCAGGCGCTCGTCTACCCGACGCCTGCGCCGCATGAGCGGCGGCATCCGGCGATGGCAGTCTTCACCCACGAAGTCGTGCTCATTCTCGCCAAGCTGCCAGTCTTTACGCTCGCCGCGGCGCTGTCGGCGCCGGTCGGGGTGCAGGCCAACGGCGACGGCGCGTCCGCCCCGACTGCAGTTGTCGACGCCGATCAGCTGCTTGCGCTCGGCGTCGATGTCGACGGCTGGGCCGACGACGTGGCAACCGTCGAGGCCAAGGAGTCTGTGTTGATGAAGGCGCTGGCCGACGCCGAGAACGCTGCCGAGGTGCGGACCCACTTTGAGGCGTACGCCGAGGCGCTGGAGGCCGGCCCGCCGTACGTCTACCTCTCACCGGCGTTTGTGGCCGTGGCCGTGGCGGCGGCGCTGCGGACCAAGGCGTGGGACGTCATCCGCGCCCTCGTCATGCGCGGAGTGCTGTCGGCCACAGCGACGCCTGCGCTCATCCCCACCCTCATTGACAATGCCCAGTGGGGCCTTCTCGCCTCGGTCCTGGTCCATGTCTCGGACTTGACCGAGGAGCAGCTGTTTGCCCTCCTTGAGCTGCTCGTCGAGGCCCACGTCGGCCAGTCGGAGCAAGGCCAGGCGTTCCGGGCGTCGATCGAGGCGCTGTTTGACGCCATCGAGGCCGGCACGCTCCTGGTCGAAGACATCGGCCTCATTCCCGAGGTCGACGCTGCTCACGCTGCCGCCGTCTCGCGGGCCTGGCCGGCCGGCGGCGCCAACATCCGCCACCTGCGCATGGGCTCCGACTCGGCAGTCGACACCATGATCTCGCTCGTCTTTGGCTACTCGCACTCGGGCGCCTTCCTCCGCCCGCACCTGCGCCGCCTTGAGGTCCCGGCCCTTACTGTCCTGCTCAAGTCTGGCCTCAAGTGGATGTCGCGATACATGCGCCGCTCGTTTGACGACCTGCGCGCCCTCCGCTCGCCGCTCCTCCCCATCCCGCGGTTCTCGGCCATCCTCGACTGGATGCGCATGCTCCTCGACACCCACTTTGCCGACATGGTCCTCGACGATGAGTGCTGGTCTTCGGTCGGCGAACTGACCAAGCTCGTCTCGTCGCAGCTCGTCCTCTGCGATGAGCTGCAGTCTATCGACGGCATCCTCGCCCAGCTCTCGTCCAAGTCGTCGCGCCTGGTTGTCGCCAACGTGCCGGACTACTCGGTCGAGCTCCTCAACATCTAAACCTTTGGCTATCCCTCCAGTACTCCTCCCATCACCACCTGCAACCGCGCTATCATCCAACACATCGATCAATCCAATGGAAGCCATGTGCTTAGACGTCAGCGAGTAAGGGGGGGGGGGGGAGCGGTGGCGATCGATCACTTGGCGATCGATCGCCCGCAGGGGGATGACAGCGCAGAGTGCCAGGCCGTTCGAGCCAGACGAGTGCCACCCAACTGCGCAACATGTCTGGGGTGACTGCCCAGTTCAAGGCCTTCCAGAGCGAGTTTGAGGGCAAGGCTCCGAACTATGCCAAGTGCACCAAGCTCCTGAATGAGCTGAAGGTATGTGTGATTGTCCCCTCTTCCTCCCCCCTCCCCCCCTCCCCCAGCCCCACCCTCAGCAGACCTTTTCCCCTTCCCCCCCTTCCCCCCCACCGGCGCGATCGTTTCGCTTTGGGCGGCTGATCGGGCGGCGGCCAAGGCGACCTACCGCTGGCGGGGTTAGGGGAAGGCCTCTGACTGTGAGGGCTACCCATGTACCTGTATAGAGATACAATCACATAGTTATTTGTGTATGAACATGTATTATATGTTGGTAGGGGTGTGTGGAAGCTGGTATCATCATGACTATGGATACGGGGGGTATGCACCTCAGGACCTCCGCCCCTCCGCCCCGCCACTCGTCAGAAGAAGGTCGTAACTTGAACACCTCGTTCATCATGTACACCATTGACTGGATATGGGGGGACAGGTGCACAGGGGGGACATAGGGGAGCATAGGGGCACATGTAGTGGATTTGTGGTTGCCGTCGTCTGCCGACCAACCCCGACCCCTCCCACTCTCCCCCCTACATGCCGACACACCACTCACTGACCAGCCACTACACCACAGATCGCACTGGTGGAAGAGGGCTTCCTGGTTCCGGGCGCAAGTGATGGCGGCGAGACGGCGCGGGCAGTGCTCGAGTACGCAGTGCTGCTGGCGGTGAAGCAGCGTGAGACGGAGGCGTTTGAGCGGCACATGACGCAGCTGGCGGCGTACTACGCCGACTACCGTGACGTGCTGGCGCCGTCAGAGAAGGAGGCCCATATGGTCTCGCTTCATCTCCTGCACGTTCTTACCCGCGACTCGGAGTACCCGGCTCCGTTTCACATGCTGCTGGAGACGCTCCCGGCCGCCGTCCTCGCCAACCCGCAGGTCGCCGCCGTGGTCGAGCTCGAGCAGCTGCTCAACGACGGTCGCTACGCAAACGTCATCGAGATGACTTCGCAGCTGGCCGCTGACGCCTCGTCGTACGAGGCTTACTTTGCCAACAAGCTCCGCGACGCGGTCAAGGCCGAGATGGCCGCCTGCGTCGCCACCGCCTACGCCGACATGCCGGTCGCTCGCGCCAAGACCCTCCTTGTCTGCGAGTCCGACGCAGAGCTCGCAGAGCTGGCCGCTGACTTTGGCTGGCTCATCGACGCCGGTGTCGTCCACCTCCGCCCGGGCGGAACCGCCACCACCCCGACCGCCGCCGCCTCGGCTGAGGCCAAGGTCCCCTCGCTCCGCGTCATCTCCGACATGCTCGGCTACGCACGCGACCTCGAGCGCATTGTGTAATAACAGACTCGCACCTCACTCTCTTTGCTACTACTGCTCATGCTGCGTCTCCTCCTGTGCCCGCTGCAGGAGGCTCGACACGTCATCGCCGAGCTCGAGCTCCTCTGACCGCTTCATGGGCGACGCGTAGGTGATGGTCACAGCCGCCGTGGACGGGAGCCGCCGGACCTCGTCCATGGCCAGCGAGCTGTCAAGCACCCGGCTCGAGGCATCAAGCGAGGTGTTGGCCTCGTGCACAGCTGCGGCTCCTGAGAAGCGCGCGAGCTCTGCGTGGGCGTCGAGGAGCGCCGACCGCAGCTGCGCAATCGTCGCCTCGGCAATGGCCACAGCCGCCCGCGACTCGGCGAGCTGGACAAGGACCCGCCGATTGGTGCCGTCGGCGCCATGCGTTGCCTCGGCGAGCTTGGCCTGCTCCGACTTGAGAAGGCTCTCCATCTCGCCGGCCCGCTCGAGATGTGCCGCCCGTGCGGCCTCGCCGTGCCCGTAGAGCGCAAGGCCTCCGGCCCGCCGGGCCTCGGCCAGCGCAGCGTGAAGCTTGGCAATTTGCTTGTCCTTGACGTGGACCTTGGCCGCCATCTGCTCGGCCGTCGCCAGCGCCGCAGCAATGGCTTCGCGCGAGATGCCGTCGATTTCGCCCTCTGCCCGCGCCGGCATGGCGTGGGACCGCCGTCCCGCGGTCTGTGCAAACTTGACCGACTCACCGAGCTCCTGCGCCACGCTCCGGAGGCGGAGGACTTCATCTGAGAGCGTACGCACATCCTCGGTCTTTTGCGCCAGGGCAGCCTCGAGCTGGGCGTTGCGCGCCTTGAGCTTTGGCACGGCCTTGGCGGTCTTGGCCGCCGACCGGAGGTTGGCCACCGCAGCCTCGTGCTCTGCATGCAGCTCGCTAATCTTGGCCGCCGTCTGCTCCTTCCACTTTCTGTCGCGAAGGAGCGACTTTTGCTTGAGCGCATGAACCTGCTTGCTCAGCTTGGCCGCCTCGGCCTCAGCGGCCCGCGCCTTGTCGTTCGCCTGCTTGACCTGCCGCGATGCGCCCGTCGCCTTGCCCGATAGCAGCTTGCTCTCGCGCGCCACCTTGCCACGCAACTTCTCGGCCAGCGCATCGCGCTCAGTCTCGACGTCAGTCAACTGCTGCTTGAGCTTGGCCACAGAACTCTTCATCGCTGCTCGGAAGAACTTGCTCCCAGCGAGCGCCTCCTTGGCAGCCTTGAGCTGCGCCTTGAGCTTGCCCACGTCGTTGGTGGACAGATCAAAGTCAGGGCCGGTGCCAGCCCCATTGTCGGGTTCACCCGTGCCTGCCAGCTCGGCTTCGGCTGCTGCGGCTGCCTGCTGCTGCAGCTCGGTGATGCGCGGAGTCGACCGCTCGCCGCGCTCGCCGCGCCCGCCACGCCCGCCACGCCCACCACGCCTGCCACGCCCACCACGCCCGCCCCGGCGGCCGCCGCGTCCAACACGGGACGACGACTTGTTGTTCTCCGGCGCAAGATTGGGTGCTCTGTCAGACTCAGGCGCAACGTTCTCATCGCCGGCGGCAAGTGCCGCCATCAGCTCGGGATCAAAGGCAGCGAGAGGATCGTCAGCCGGCGGCGGATCAAACCGGTCGGCCGAGTCGAGCTCGGCCTCGACGGCGTCCTTCATAAACTGGACCATGGCCATGACGTCAGCGGTGGAGCGGAGCGAGGCAAGCGGGTCGCTAACTGTACCGGCAGTCGACTCGAGAGCGGCATCGGGGCGGACCTCGGGTGTGGCCGGGACCGGGGCCGGAACGGCTGCGGCGCGCCGGCCGCGCAACAGCGACGAAGCCAGCTCGGGGTCATCGCCGCGGCCGACGGTGAGCACAAACGGCTTGCGGGTCTCGTTGTCGACTTCAGCTCCGCCGGGCTGCGGCTCGAGCGAGTCAAGTTCGGATTCATAGTCTGAGTCGGAGCCCGCTGACAGAACCGCGTTGGCCTTGACCAGGAGCACGTTGCCGAGCTGCGGCTTGGGCAGCTGGATGGGCGCAAATGCGCGGAAGCGGATGGCGCACCGCATGGTGTAGATGGCGTCAAGCTGCGGTCGGCGATACGGCGCAACACAGGCAAGAAAGACGGCCGGAATGTCGCCGACAAGCGCACGCTCGAGCTGGCGGGTGAGCTTGGACTTTGAAAATCCGGCATCACGCCGGTTGCCGCGCTCCAGCGCGTCGACGACTTGGTCAAGTGCAGCCAGCGACTGTGAGTTGGCGTAGTCGTGCCGCAGCGAGATGGCGTTGGGCGTGATCGGTGTGTGTGACCCAGTCGCGGCCACCAGCACAAACGTCAGCTTGGCCTCGTACCGCACCTGCTTGCGCTGCGGCGGCTTCTTGAAGAACCGCGACGGCGCCGGCGTCTCGACCAGCTCATGGGTAATGCGCTCGACCGCAATGTTGAGCACGACGTGGGCATCGCCGGCCATGGCGTGGACCGCCCGGGCCCGCGACTCGAGGAGCGCAAAGCCCTCGTCAGGCGAAGCGATGATGACCTCGGAGCAGATGATGTCACCGTCGGCGGCAAGAGCGTCAGCGGCGGCAGCGCCAGCCGCAACGGCGCCCGGCGGCCTCAAGGCATCGGTCACGTTCTCGTCGCGCACAAGCGCGAGCGAGAGCCGGACCACAAACGCATCGTCCGAGCCCGCCTCGGTCTCAGCATCCATGAACTGGAAGACCGAGGCAAGGGCAACTGAGGCCAGGCCCGGATCGCCGCCCGGAGCGCCCAGCAGCAGACTCCGCTTTCCAGTCCCCGGTCCGCCATACACCACCACGGCAGCATCGGTCAGTTGGCTCACCACCATCTCTGCGTAAGGTCGAAGCTCATCGTTGTACACGCCCCGCGGCGTAGAGAACTCATCAAACACACGATCGACTTCAAACGAGCTGTTGCCCTCTTCCCTGTGAGTCTCTACACCATGGACGGCTAACATCAAGCATGTCCCGAATCGGTCCGCACCTCGGCCTCGATCATGGCCAGAGTCATGGACGGCTACCATCAAGCATGGCCCGAATCGGTCCGCACCTCGGCCTCGATCATGGCCAGAGTCATGGACGGCTACCATCAAGCATGGCCCGAATCGGTCCGCACCTCGGCCTCGATCATGGCCACACCCGTCATCACCACACCCGTCATCACCACACCCGTCATCACCACACCACACCACAGCTTTCCTCCAAAACGTACTGGACTTTCTGGACAGCTCGAGCCAGCTCTGTCAAGAACAGTTCGCGAGTCTGAGATACCAACGGCTGTGTGCGAGGCGGAAGCAGGGGCAGGACGGACGACACGAGCAAGGACACGCATGGCTGAGACGGGAGAGAGCAACCGAGCGAGCAAGGGAGATGACGATGAAGACGACAAGATATGAGTATACGGGGGAGAGGGAGAGGGGCGCTCTTGATTCTCCTTGACCGCTACTTCAACCAATCGCTCAACAACAACAAGAAGCTGATGCTCCTGTTGAAGATGGGTATGACCTCCTCTTCCTTCCCCTCGCAACGAACGACTTTGACGGCTGGCTTTGCCCGTTTGACCGGTTTGCCGCCCAAATGCCATTCAAATTTTGAACATATGTCTGTCCTCATGTCGCACACGTTGAATAATGTCATTGACTCTGGTCGTGATATCCAATGAATTAGCCCCAAAGTCCTCCCCCCCCCCCCCTTCTTCCCCCTCCCCCTCCCACGCAATCGCATCACCAAAGCCAATTATCATCTTTGACGCGCACGACAAATAAGTGGTGTAGGAACATACTCCCCTCCCCCACGACTACCCCCTTGTACACCATACCGTTCTTGTCTGCCAAACGGAACTTCATCTTCTGTTCACTCTTTGATGACTATTCATGCAAGTGTAGCAGTGAACGGAGCGTCTCCAAAATGATTTACTTGACAATGAACGTTTGTTCTCCCGATTGGCACGGAAAAAACCGAGCAAACCGCACGAGAAGTTGCCACCTTCCCCCCCCCCCCTTGCCACCTCCTCCTCCTCCTCCCACCACCGCAACCACACCCCGACTTCAAATAAGCATCTATGTCGTCACATAGTTTGCTAGAGATGCTCTGGCTGGTGGTCAGTGTGGGACTCGTGGTCTCATGCTGTGCTTCGTATGGTCATGGCTGGGCTCCGCTAGGTGGTGGTCTGGCAAGAACAAGTGACGCCTCAACTCGGTCGACATCAACTCCGTCAATGGCATCGTCGTCGTCAACGGCAGAACCTCTGGTTCATCTCCGCTGCTTCAGCTACTTTAACCTCAACACAGGCCCAGGAAGAGCTCTCAATGCTGCTGTGGATCGGTGGAACAGTCGGATCAATGCTACGTCGTCGATCTCCTTCCACAATCTGGGCGTTCCAGACTCGGCTGGCTACCTTCATTGGGTTGATGCCCTTGGCGCGCCGGACATCATCCCGTTCTACGGCTCTGGCGGCGAGCTGGACCTCATGGACAAGGGTAAGTACGTCAATCTCGACGAGATCTGGGCCAATGCCGCCTTTGATGGCGATGTGCTCGAGGCTGCTCGCACTGCTGTCACCGCCAAGACCCATCCGTCGGTCTACGGCATCCCGCTTGCAGGCGACACCCACGTCTGCGTCTACTCCAAGTCGCGATGGGCCGCCGCAGGCCTCTCGCCGCCAGAGACGTGGTCGCAGCTCAAGGAGGTGTGCCAGGTCTGGACGGCGCTCGGGCGCCCGTGCATTTCGCACGCCATGCCTCGGTGGATGGGCTTTCCACCCACAGTCTACTTTGACTATCTCTTCATCCGCATGTATGGCAACGAGGTCTACTCGCAGTTTATGTCCGGCTCTGTGCCTTTTGGCGACCCCCGCATTCTCGACGTCCTCGATGTTCTCGCCGACGTCGCCGCCTTGTACATGAGCGGCGATCCCGCCACCGGCTACACCGACCTGTACTACGCCGAGTCGCTTGACGGGCCCCACACGGCCTTTTCTGCGGCTTTGAGGTTGCGTCCATCATTCCGCAGATCCGCGGCTCCATGGTCTCGTCGGACCTCGGTGCCTTTCGCTTCCCGGTCTACGACGGCCCAGTGAAGCACGCCGTGCCCGCCACTGCCCGCACAGACGGCGAGCTCGGTATCATCCAGATCGCGGCTGTGCCCGCAAACTCTATATACCCTCACCACTCCCTGGAGTTTATGGACTACATTGCATCACCGGAAGAGCAGGCTGTTGCCAGCTCCTTCTTCGGCATCTCCGGCTACCCTGTTCGTCCCTCACTCGCCCACACTATCGCTTCCGAGCGCGTCCGTGTCGGCTACAACGCCACTCTCTCGTCAGGCACTCTCTTGGAGCGCTCCATGACCGTCACTGGTTTCCCCAGTGTCTTTGACGCCTGGAACGCCCTGCTACTCGAGGTCCAGTTGCAAAATGACTCGGTCCTCGCCCGCAATATCTACACCGCCCGCCTGCCACAGATCGAGGCCCTACGCCTTGCTGCTGTCCTCGCCCAGACCGCCGCGCCGACTGCCGACCCGCCGCCAGGCTCTTACACCAAGGTCTTTCTCGTCACACTCTCCACCCTCACCCCGGACGCCATCATCTTTTACACCACGGATGGCACCACCCCCTCGCGCCGCTCGGCCGTCTTCTCGGATGGCGTTCAGCTCGCGATTGACGGCAACACCGTCATCCGCGCGGTCGCTCTTGGTGAAGGACTACGACTTTCAAGCGAAGTCCGTGCAGAGTACCGACTCACGCTCCACCGCCCCGCGCCGCCGCTGGCGGTGGCGACCTCGGTCTCCGAGTCCAAGACCATGCTCGCACTTGCGATTGTGCTTCCGCTCGTTGCAACAGCCATTATCGCGGCGGTTATCGTGGGCTGGGTCGTCTACCGCCGCAAGACAGTGACGTACCGGCTGGCGTCCGACTCGGACCTGGTCATCGCCGAGGACGACATTGCAGTGGGCGAGGCGGTGGGCATCGGCTCATTCGGCACGGTATACACGGCACGGTGGCGGGCAACCGACGTGGCGGTGAAGCGGATGCACAACCACGAGCTGAAGCCGGGCACGCTGCGCAAATTTGTGGACGAGGCGACGATGCTTGTCCGACTCCGGCATCCCAACATTGTGATCTTCATGGGTGTGACGATCGAGCCGCCGGGCATTGTGACCGAGTTTATGGATCGCGGGTCGATGCACGATGTGATCCACAATGCCGAGCTGTTCCTGCACCCGTCGATGATCTTCAAATGGGCACACAACATGGCACAAGGCCTGCACTTTCTGGCGCACGCTGGGGTGGTCCACGGTGACTTCAAGTCGCTCAACGTGCTGTTTGACGCATCGTGGATGCCCAAGATTTGCGACTTTGGGCTTTCGTCTGTCCGGCCGACAGCGGCGCTAGTGCCAACCGCCAGCGCTGCAATCGAGCAGTCTCGCCGGATGAGCAATCGAGTCGCGCCGTCCCAGTCGCTCTCAGTTGCTGCAGCGAGCGCGTCCATCTCGCGGATGCCGATGTCTGCTCGCGTGGGCGCGGCGTCGCATGGCAGCATCTCCATGGGATCGATGAGGCTACCCGCAACTTCCATATCGACTCGCGCCGCACCTACACCCCAAATTGCCACTGCCACGACAGGCACGCTATTCTGGACGGCACCCGAAGTGCTCGACGAGGGCGAGACCGCGCTGTCGACCGCCTCGGATGCGTATGCGCTCGGCATCACCTTGTGGGAGCTCGCATCGCGAGCCCATGTCTTTGCTGGCGAGAATCCGATCGCTGTCGCGCTCGACGTCATCAACGGTCGTCGGCCCGACCTCCAGCGCCTCCCTCCGTCGCTTTCCAAGCTGCGAGTCGTCATGGCTGCGCTTTGGCGAGTTGAGGCATCCGATCGCATGTCACTGACCCAGGCTGAGGCCGAGCTTGGGCGGCTGTACTCGACCGACGCACTCGTCTTCCCGACCACTACGCTCAACCCGTCCGGAACCGTCATCGCGGTCCATGTGACACTTGCCGGGTATGCCAGGCGGTTGGTGAATGACCCGGATGCTGAGCACGAGCAGCTGACCACGCTCGACCTCAAAGTGCCCGAGCTGGCACGACTCGCCGGCGGGACAACAGTCTCGCACAAGCTCGGTGCGCTCACGCTCGTCTTTCACCAGCACACACAGCTGACGACGTTCATCAACCTGATGGTGGCGCAGACAAGCGAGGGAGCGCCGCAGCTGGCGATGGTGGCTGCGCGGGCGGACATCGCGACGTCCAAGGACGCGTTTGGGCAAAAGAGCCTGAGCGGCCCGGTGATGGACGTACTGGCGGCGACGTGGGAGGTGTGCTTTGGCGGATTTGCGCTGACAGAAGCCGGGCTCGACGAGGGCCAGCAGGGAAGTCGTGGGCTGTTTGCGCACGGGATGTTTGTGGTCGGCGATTTGCATGCGGATCTGACCGGGTTGGCTGCTGCCAAGTTCTCGCTCGTCCCGATCGAGCCGTCGCGAATGGTCAAAAGTATGCACTCATCCGGAGGCTCGCCGTCAACATCAGCCCATGCAACCACGTCCAGTGCTGGCGGAACGCATGTCCACGGCCTATTCTTAATCGTGCCACTCCATGTCCCGCTCGGCCTGAATACCATCGCGGACGCAAGCACGACCGAACGCAATCTGTTGAGCACTACCCGCAAGAGCGCCACCCGATCGGCTGTCACGCCGCTCGAAGTGTCGTCTTTGTCGTCATCATCGGCAGAAAACCCAGAGGGCGGAGATTACCAGTTGCCCGAGTCAACGTTATCGGTTGCGCTTGGCAGCCGGACGACTGTAGCGACGGTCATGCCGGCAATGCCGCCTCGTCCACAGCCGAGCTGCCAGTGGCTTGTTTCGCGCGAGAACATCCGCGCCCTCCTCGCGCAAGGTGGCCGGTCGATGCTGGGCTCATACGCCAACGTCCACCATGCGACTTGGCGCGACGAGCCGGTTGTTGTCAAGCTCCTCTTGGTCCAGCCGACCAACGTGTTGGACATGGTCCGAATTGCACGCGCTGCAGCAGCAGCCTTCCGGGTCTCGCTCGAGTGCCGGGGCGAGGCGCTCGGGCCGATTGGGCTCTGCATGGCTCCGCCAATGTGCAGTGTCATCTACCACCGCACCGGCGACGGAACGCTCGCCGACGCGCTCGGACATACAGCGGACAACGACTGTGACGTCGACCTCGAGATCCACGACAACAAGCGGACAATCATCCGCGAACTTGTCGGTGCCCTGCACACCCTCCACGAGCGCGGCTTGAGCGCGCATGGCGCACTCAAGCCGTCCAACGTGCTGCTGGAGGTGCGCCGGCAACGGGTGCGGTCGATCATGCTCACCGACTTTGGCATGGACGACCTGCGCAACAACATGGGCACAATGACCATGGTGCCGTCGGCCGGCTACACCGCGCCCGAGGTTCTGTGTGGCGGCGAGGCGAGCGCCGCGTCGGACGTGTATGTTGTCGGCACGCTCGTCTTTGAGATCCTGACCGGACAAGCGGCGTTTGGTGGGAGCAATGCCCTCGAGGTGGCGCACCGCATTGTGTCGGGCTGGCGGCCAGACGTGGACCGCGCTGTGGCCAACGACGTCCTTGCAGACCTGATTCGGCGATGCTGGAACCGCGAAACGTCTGCACGCCCGTCAACAATCCAAATCATTCAGGCGCTCGATTGCGAGTAGCGAGGTCAGTCTTCGGCCTCGCCACGCATCAGCCGGAGCACCCGCGAATGGACTGTAAAGATGATGGCGGCACCGATGCCGCACCGCAGCGCAGCCGGGGAGTATCCACGATAGAGCTCGGTAGGCGGACTGGCGGCCAGTGCCCGCACAAGCGCCATCGGCGATGCTGCCGCGTGGTGACTCGACTGCACCAAGGTCTTGATGCGGTCGAGCGGAAGGACGACTGAGACTCCTGCCACGCCCGCCAGGCCGCCGGCAACTGGGACCGGCAGGCCAGCGTCGAGTCCGATCTGGTACGCCGGGAACCAAAGCGCACCAAAGACAGCATATCGCGCAGCTGTCGGAGCCAAGCCGCGAGCCCAGCGTGCAAGTGGATACGACGTAGCCTCTCGCACAATGGCTCGCGCTGCCGCGGATGCCGACTCTGCAGGCGCGGTCGAGGCCTCAAGCGCGAGCTTGACGACATCGGCCGGGGTGACGAGAAGCGCCTCGGCAAGGCCACCGATGGCGCCGGCGATCGCAGTTGAGGCGAGCGACGAGTCGGGCAGGGCCGACAATGCGGCAGAGAAAGCTACAAACTTGACGCCCTTTTGCGGAAAGATGGCCGCCAGCGGGAGAGTCACGCCCTTGTACAAGCCGCGGAGCGACTCGTGGCGCCAGGTGGTGCGGAGACAGTCGCGGAGCGAGGCGTAGTTTGGCACGGTCTTGCTCGCCCGACTTGGAGCATGCGGCAAGTGGAACATCATCCTGTTCTTGGCCACGTCTAGAGGGTGCAGCAGCACGACTTCGGCCATGCCCGCCAGCCCACCAGCTACAAGCTGTTCCATTCTGCGGCTTGCAGTTGCCGCCCGTGTCGCGTCGGATACGAGGAGAGAGATGTTAAAGCCTGTGGCATTAAACGTATCCGTGTGGCCGTGCCAGGGGGAGCGGAGGCTGCTGCAACCTCCGTCGCGATGGCCTGGTCAAAGGAGAGGATGCGTTGGAGGTGCGAATAAAAGTGGATGATGTTGGAAATTTGCTTGTGCATGCAGATTTTACAAACAAAGCAGTTGAAGAAAGAAGCCATCGGCCGCAGGACGTTGACTCTGTCCGCCACAGCTTGTGCAACAATTTTGTGCGTGTGCTTGATGCCTGATGCCTGATGCCCGGTGCCATGTCGAAGACGCCCGTCATAGCGGCTCCTGGCTCCTAGTGGCTCGACTACGACAGCGTCTCGTAAAACGTAACAAGCGCAGAGTCGGACGAGTAGACGAACCAAACCATCGAGATGTAGCTGGTGGTAGTGGTGGTGGCAGCATCGGGCGGCGAGAAGATTGTGGCGTGCGACGGGAGGGCGAAATCCACGCTAGGATTTGGGTCGAGCGAGGCGATGTCAGCGGTGGAGAACGGCGCCGTCACCGCCCTGGGAGAGTACGCACTGCTTCTGGAAAAGACTACAACCGTCGCCCCATTGGGAGCGACGAGAACCGATGTGATGTCGCCATCCATGGGGACAGTTGCAGCCTGGACCGCGGTTGTACCCGAGAGCGAGTACACATCAAGCTTGTGACCACCGTTGTCAAAGGCCGCGAGCGTGGAGCAGTCGTCGGAGAGCTGCGCCACGACGTTGGTCCCTGGCAGCGAAACGACTGGAGTGTAGCTGCCGTCGTGATAGCCCATGACTGTGTTTGCGCCATCGCTAGGATCAGAGATGACCAGAAAGGCGCCGCCAGAGCAGACGCCAGAGACTGCAGCGCTGCCGCTGACAGGCTTGCCGGTCTGGATGATCGTCCCCGTGGTAGGCGAGACAATGGCATAAAGCGAACCATCTGAGACGAAAACGCCATCATTCACACTGTTAAAGGCAACCAGATCGCGGCGAATGTTGCCCATCTGAGGAAGCTCCTTGGAGAGTGAGATCCGCGCCGAGGTCTGGTTCGAGTCAGGGGTGAAAAAAAGTAGCTCCGAGACGCCAACCTCGGAGAAGATGTTTGCGACGACAAGACCGCCATCGTCCGACGATGTGGCCCACCCGTGACTCCCGGGAAGACAGCGATACGTCCAAGATGGAACCATATTTCCCGGTGAGCCTGGGAGGACAAAGGCGTTGAGTTCGCAGGCGTACTTGTTCGTGAACGAGGCGTTGGTGAACACAAACCCGTTATTCCCATTCCGCCCGGCAAGAACATATGGGTAGTTGATCGACGTGAACGTCGATGTTGCCATCGAGCTCTTGCTTCCATCCGCAAGGTTGGCCACCGTTCGATCGGGCGTGACTGCCAGGAATCCCGGCTTGCCGCCGTTGTTGTACTCGGCGGCGATGATGGGATAAACACTGACGCCGCTCATGGCAAAGCCCTCATGCCAAACCATCTCGGTAGTCCCAGCCAAAGCCAGAGTGGCCACAGCCGCAAGAACAACAAGAGCCTCAAACATGACCCTATCAGAAGATGCGATCTGGATTGCTTGCCTACCGGGTATACGACGGTGAGTGCGCGATGGTTTTGACGTGCGGGGGCATTGAGCAGATTTCCTGCTGTGCTGAGCACGGTTGGAGTTTGACACATGCTACCACGCCGGTGCTTTGATAAGAGCACCGGTGGTGCGACAAGCAAGAGACAGAAGTTGAGGTTATAATACAAGTGGGTGGCTATGGCTGGTGGATGGGTAGATGGAGGTGGTAGTGCCCGTAGTGTGAAAAGACAGGGAAGGAAAGGCCGAGCAAGAAATGAGAAAAAATGATGATCACGCATGCGCTGGCGGTTCTCGGCGGCGTCTGAGTGCAGCACCGAGGAGACGAAAACAAAAAGTATCGATGAAGGGATGAAGTTTACGGACGAGCCAGCTTGTGTCGGACAAGTACGGCTGAGATCTGATTTGATCGCCAAGGTTTGTATCTCCAGCCTGCTGCAGCTGTCTGCACACCACCAGCTGCTGCGTAGCCAAGACGCCCAGACCAGACCAGAAAGCAGCACCGCTTTTCCATCCACATGGCAAAGTCCTCCTCCATCTTCCAGCCGATTGTGATACATTCGAGAGATTGATATCCCTCCTCTTTCAGACTGATGTCCCGTCGACTGAGAGCAGCTTTCGCTGCGCGTTGTGCGAGAGCAGGCATGATGCGGCGACGGGGACGGGGGAGGAGAAGAAAGACAGAGGCTGCGTAGTAGCTGCGACACGACTCAACTCTGCAACGGAAACACATACTGCGGTGAAGAAGGGCGTGAGGCGAGTGAGACTGCGGATGAGTGCAACGTCGAGTTTCAGAAGGAGCTTGAGTTCAAGGAGCTCGAGCGGTGGCTTGGGCAGTGCGAGGGGTGCGGGTGTGGACGGCGGTTTGAACGGCGGCGATGTTGTGACGGGAGGACCAGCTGGGCCATGGATGATTGTACTGCTGGATGAGATTCTGGATGGACCTGCATTGTATGCTATCCTGGGCTTGTTGATGGTGGTCATGACACTGTGTTGGATCTATCTCTGTGCTCTGGCGGCGACATCGGTGACAGGACATCGTCGAAGGCTGAATGACAAGCACGATCCGCCCATCGATGCTGAGCTCGGCGACTGCGGAGATGAGGCTGGTATCGTATCGGCATCAGGTGGTGCAGCTGGACTGCCTCGTTCAGCACAGGCGACACGAGTCCGACGCTAGTGGTTGGCGTCGGCCCGGGAGCGACGATTGCTGCTTGTTTGCTTATCTACGCATGGCGGAGCGGGTTAAAGTCTTTGGCGGCATGGTAAGCCTTCTTGATGGGGTAGAGTGGGACGCCCTCGGCAGCAGCCTCGGACATGACGGCCTGCATGTAGGCCTCGAGACGTGCGTCCTCGGCGGCCTCGCGCTCGGCCTCGAGGGCAACAAAGTCTGCGGCCTGGACCTTGTCCCAGGCGTTCTGGTTCTTCTGAAGCTCCATCTGGGCCTTGTGGTACGAGGCGAGCTCACGGGCGGCGGCGCGCTTGGCCTTGAGCTCAGCGGCGCGCTCGGCCTCGTAGTCGGCAGCGTCCTGAGCAGCCGACGCCAGGAGCTTGGATGACATTTTGGCGTCTGCGCGGGCGTCTGCACGGCGGCGGGCAATCTGAGCGCGATGCTGCTCGCGGATCTCGGCCTTGGCGGCGGCAGCCTTGGCCTTGCGGCGGGCCTCTTCGACGGCGTTGCGCTCGTCGGCGGCCATGACTGCAGCGTGGATGCGTTCCTCCTCCTGGGTCTCGCGGGCAAGAGCGTCCTGCAGCTGGCGGGCGGCCATGGCCTCGCGAGCGGCGTCCTTCTCAGCCTTGCGGGCGGCAGCGATAGCCTTGCGCTCTGCAAGCATCGCTTCGCGCTCGCGCTCATACTTGAGGATCTGCTCGTCTTCCAGCAGCTCGCGGACCCGCTGCTCGGCCTTGATCTGCTGCAGCGCCGAATTTGTCGAGATTGCCTCCTCCTTGAGCTTGCGCGAGCGCTCGGCACGCGCGTGGGCCTTGGCAGCCTCGGCCTGGGCATGGTCGCGGGCCTGCTGGCGCAGCAGCTCGCCCTCGCGCATGTTGCGGGTCTTCTCGGCAGCCCTCTGCGATGCGCGGGTCTCCATCTGCCTCCGCTGCTCCATCTTGAGCGCGGTCTGCTTGGCACGGCGCTCCTCAGCCTCACGCTCCTCGCGCTCGGCATACTCGTCGGCTTCTGAGAGAACCTTTTCGGCATAAGCGCGGTCCCTCGCAGCACGTGCGGCCTTGCGGCGGTTGTTGAGGGCGATTTGGCGCTCGCGCTCCTTGAGGACATGAGCCTGATGGAGGCCGGCATGGAAGGCCTTGACGCGATCCGTCTCGTAGTACAGCTGCTCGTTTGCAGTAGCAATAGCCGCCGCACGCTTCTCAGCCTGAATGCGAGCCTCCTCGATGTCCTCCTCCTGGCGACGCTGCTCCTCGGCTTCGAGCATGCGCTGATACTCTGTGGCCTTCTCCAGCTGCTTTGCGGCGAGTGTGTTGTTCCACCGCGCAGCACGGGCGACCGACTTGTTATGGAGCTCCTCCCGACGTGCTGCATTCCGTCCACCAGCCACTTGGCGACGAGCTCCACGACCACGACCACGACCGACTGAGCCTTGCGGCCTACGCGTGCTGCCATGGCCGTTCTTTGAGCTGCCAGACTCTGTCTGTCCCAGGTTCTGCTTGATACGTGCATAATCACGCGAGGAAAGAACAGCAACAGCTCCACCTCGGCTGTGACTGCCTCCAAGTCGCCGTGTCGTCTGCATCTTCTCCGTAAGCCTTCCTCCGCAGCAGCAGAGACGAGTCTGTCTCTGCCGGCCGTTGGCGGTGGCCAATCCGAACCGAATGAGTCTGAATTGCGACAAAGTTTATGGGCGCCATTGATTGTTTGTTGAGGCCAATGATGGTTCGAGGATAACGATTGTTTGTTGAGGCCAATGATGGTTCGAGGGTAACGATTGTTTGTTGAGGCCAGTGATGGTTCGAGGATAACGATTGTTTGTTGAGGCCAATGATGGTTCGAGGATAACGATTGTTTGTTGAGGCCAATGATGGTTCGAGGATAACGATTGTTTGTTGAGGCCAGTGATGGTTCGAGGATAACGATTGTTTGTTGAGGCCAATGATGGTTCGAGGATAACGATTGTTTGTTGAGGCCAATGATGGTTCGGGGATAACGATTGTTTGTTGGTGGTTGGGGGCAGTAGTAGTTGGCTACGATTATGGGAACAACAAACAATCGATATTTGCCTCCAGCACGCGGACACAGCACTTTCCTCGTGTCCCGCCCACCACCACCTCTCTTCGTGGAGACTCTGCTTACGCCCATCAGTCTCCAACTACTTCTCTGCTACATTCACCTACAGCCAGGCGCTCATGGCCAGCGCAGCAGCAGGAGCAGCAGGAGCAGGAGCAGGCGCAGCAGGAGCCGCCGCAGTCCGACCTGTGTCTAACCTGGGCGACATGGCCGAGGGAGAGGGACAGCCACCAGTGGCCGACGAACAGTGGGGCCATGTCACACGAGTGCCACGACTGGTGCTGGGAGGAAGTGGAAGTGGAGGAGCTACTGCTGCCGAAGCTGGAGTTGGAGCTGCTGGAGCTGCTGGAGCTGTTGGAGCTGGTGGTGGTGGTGGGGAAGCAGAGACGACCGGTGACGCGATGCTGCCGCCCGACTACGTCCATGCCACCACTCCTCGACCGGACCGAGGGGACAGCAACGAGAACGATGGCGAGAACGTCACGGCCAAGGTCGACGATGACCATGACTACCACCAGAACTACCGCCATGCTCATGATGAGGATCTGGTGGGGTATGCCGGTGAGTATGATCGTCATCGTCTGGCGAGGACTCGCAGTGCGGCGGGTGGTCCTGGGGAGAGCGACGGCGAGTACGAGTATGCGTACGAGGATGGTGATGGCGATGAGCTTCGGTTGACAGCTAGTAGGGACGCAGGGGCGCTAGTGGAGACAGAGGCGATGGCAAGCGCGAGATTGGGGCCGAGAGAGCGGGTGGCGCTGTTTGGGTCGGACGCCGTCCCGCTGCATGCGCTGGAGGCCGGAACAAAGACCGTGTCGCTGACAAGGCCCAATGTGCGGATCATGCGGGCGCTGGATCCTTATGGCGAGGAGGAGGCCCGTCGGGTGGCGGCGGTCAACGCGGCACAGACGGTGCAGTGTCTGGTGACAGACGCGCGGACCCGCAAGTTTCATGCGCATGCCAAGATGCTGGCCACAAAGCAGGCCGGGTCAGTGACTAATCCGCGGTCGCCGTACCATGTCGACAATCTTCTTGCCGATAGTCGCGGCGGGTCGCTGTCGGCACGGGCGTCGTCGACGCCGCAGCAGCAGGCCCGGTTCTCGCCGCGGTGCACAAAGCCCAAGACGTCGGCGATTGTGCAGCGGGCGCTGGAGCGGGCAGCAGCAGCACGTATCGGGAGTGGATCTTCGTCGGCATCGCCAAAGACGCCCAAGGGCAAGCAGCGGAGCAAGCGGCGGCGGCCACACTCGGCGCCGCGAGCCGGCTGGGCTCTGACCGCGGGGCGGGTGGCGCCAGACTTGTCGGTGTACGCAAGTCCTCAGCACACCGCCGCGGGAGGCCGCAACGGCTCCTCGCCTCGCAAGCCTGGTCTGCGGCGGCTGACGCGCATCGAGCGGCCTTACACACCGCAGGAGCTGCGCGCTGCGCGCAAGATGGCCAACATCCGGCTGGCCTCGTACGCGCGGGAGCAGCCGTCGCCACAGGAGCTTGCTGAGGCCAAGGAGCTGCGCATCATCCGCGAGGCGCGGATTGCGGCGCTGCAGCAGGCCGAGGACGCACGAGTTCGGATTGAGACTGCCAACGCCGCGGCGGAGCTCTCAACTACCGACGTGCGTGTCGAGGCTGCCGGCGGGCTGGCGCCGACGCGGCTCCAGGCACGGCGCGGGCGCGGAACAGTGCTAGATGTGTGAAAGAGTTCACTAGAGAGGAGAGGAGAGCAGGGAAGCATGCACGAGAAGCAAACAAGCTAGAGGGTGCGGGCGGTGACACGATGGACGGCATCGACGACGTCGGCAATCTGCGGCAGCGACATCTCCTCGAGCGACTTGGCGTACGGCATGGGGATGTCAACACCGGTGATGCGCTCGGGCGGGGCGTCGAGCTGGTCAAAGGCGTCCGACTCGACGACGGCAGCGAGAATCTCGGAGCCGACGCCGGACTGCGGCCAGCCCTCCTCAACGGTGACGAGGCGGTGGGTCTTGGAGACCGACTCGAGGATGGTGTCGCGGTCGAGCGGGCGGATAGTACGGAGGTTGATGACCTCGGCGGAGATGCCGTCGGCGGCGAGCTGCTCGGCAGCCTTGACGCAGTAGCCGACACACTTGCCAAACGAGACAAGGGTGACGTCGGAGCCCTCGACAACAACATCGGCCTTGCCGATCGGCAGGGTAAAGTCCTTGTCCAGGACGGCATCGTCGACCTCGAACGACTCGCCATACAGGATCTCGTTCTCCAGGATGACAACCGGGTTCGGGTCACGGACGGCAGCCTTGAGCAGGCCGCGGGCGTCGGTAGCGTCCCACGGGGCGACAACCTTGAGGCCCGGGACTGACGAGTACCAGGCGGCAAAGCACTGCGAGTGCTGGGCGGCGACGCCTGCGGCAGCCCCATTGGCGCCACGGAAGACGATGGGGACGCCGATGGTGCCGCCCGCCATGTACGCGGTCTTGCCAGCAGAGTTGACGATGTGGTCGATGGCCTGCATGGCAAAGTTCCACGTCATAAACTCGACAATCGGCCGCATGCCGGCAAACGCCGCACCGACGGCAATGCCCGCAAAGCCGTACTCTGTGATCGGGGTATCCTGCACGCGCTCATCGCCGTACTTTGCATGGAGTCCCTTGGAGATCTTGTACGCACCATCGTACGCACCAACCTCCTCGCCCATCAGAATGACCTTCTCATCACGAGCGAGCTCCTCATCCATGGCCGTGTTGAGTGCCTCACGGACAGTAATGGAGGCCATCCCACGGACGGACTGCGTCAGTGGTCCATGTCGCCCGTCATGTCCAGACAGAGGTGAGTGCGGGTGCGAGGAGAGGGGGAAAAGGGGAGCAGCAGCTTCTCCCTCGCTAGTTGGCCATGGCTACGTGATTCTTGATCTGCATGGTCGCCCTCACCCCCCCCTTTGACCCCGTCCAGGTTCAGTGGAGGAGCTCACGACGCGGCCTTTTGCTACGTCGACGTGGCTGGCACTCGGGTGTGTAGCCGTACGCCACAGACTACTACGACCAGCAGCGCAGCCTTCAACAAGGGCATACCATACACTAGCTACTACACCATAACCAGACCCACTATCATGGTCAACAGAGGTGAGAGCGTCGCTCTAGAGGCCATAGTCATGCATGACCCCTCTGAGCAGGCTGGGTCATTTTTTGGCCGACCCTACGGTCACATCACCGACCAATGCCATAGCCATGGCAAGACGGCCAGACAGAGACCAGAGCTATGGATGGAAGACATGCGCTAAATCAAAATAGGGTGAGCATGTCTGTGTGTGGAGACGGGGAATACGTACCTCCACAGTGCGGGAGAGGCGGGCTGCAGAGCGGCAGATGTTGAGCATGCTGTTCGGGTGCAGTGGGGTGGCTAACGCTGAGTTGTCGTTGGCGGCTGGCTGACTGCTGGCGAGGAGGTCTTGGGCCATGATCTCGCCAACCGTGGTTGGTTGGTTGGTTGGTTGGTTGGAGGGAGGGATCGGAATGATTGGGGGTGGAAGGCGATACGTGGTGATGGCGATGATGGTGATGATGGGGTGAGGCGAGGGGAGGAGGGGGGGGGGGGGGAGGGCCAACGATGGTCTTCGAGGGCGATCGAAGACCGAGAGTTGAGAGGTCGGTGGAGAGTGAGGATGATCGTGAGAGGAGGCAAGCAGATGTTGTTGGGTTTGATCGATGTTGAGCCGAGCTGATTGAGTGCATGGCGGCGATGATGGCTAGGGTGAGAGGCGGGAGCTGGTGGACGAAGCCGGGGCTGAGAGACCAATGCGAGGGGGAGGAGAAGGGGGCTGCGCGACCCAGCCCCGCCACCACCAATCAGTGCCTCACCCCATCATAGCTATAACATGACCCAACTCGTCCGTTCTACCTCTTCAATGATCGTGATCATGATCATCATCAATGTCACTACCTCCGCAATCCTCCGCACCCCCTCCCTCCCTCTCCCGCGCACTCTCCCCCATCTCTGCCCATACCGGACACGATCCAGAGCTAGTTGGACAGCCAGCCCCCGTCGCCATCCTATCAGCATGTATATACCCATTGATTTCCACAGATGGCACTCAATACGACTATCCCAGCCGATATCCAACTTGGGGACATTCTCATCAGTTTGTCCGCCCGCCGCCCCGCTCCGCCCCGCCACCCCGTCACCCGCCCACTCGGCTTGACCAGGCGCGTCAGCCATGGCACAACACGTAGCCGGCCAAGTGGGGAGGTGTGAGAAACACGTGACTATTATTATTCCCCAGTATGGCTGACGAGAACAACCTTGGAGACGGTCTTCGCTATCCGGGTATGTAGGGGTGATGGAGGGAGGCAGCGTGGGGGGGGGGAGGAGGGGGAGGAGGGAGGGGAGGGGGGTGGGGTACGTCAGCCTGTGTGGGGACGAGGTATACTCATCGAGGATGATGCGGTTGTGACGGGGATGGAATTATGATGGTGTCTGTGGTGATGGTGTCTGTGGTGATGGTGTCTGTGGTGATGATGGCGTGATGGTGGCGATGATGGCGACGATGGTGGCGGTGATGGGGACTGCGGTGATGATGGCGTTTGTGACGGGGATGGCGGGTGTGATGGTATCTGTGGTGACGATACGGGGTATGATGGTATCTGTGGTGACGATACGGGGCGATGGTGTCTGCGGTGTGTGCGTGTGTGTGTGTGGGGGGGGCGATGCCTCCGATGACGATGTGTGTTGCGGGGGGGGAACTCTGGACGGTGGCAGCTAAGCATTCGGAGCGGAGGATGTCCGAGTCCAAGAATGAGGAAGAGGCGAGGTTGGAGCGGATGGCCAAGGCTGTCGAGGTGCTGCTGGAGGGAATTGGAGAGGATGTTGCACGGGAGGGTCTACTGGAGACGCCGATGCGGATGGCCAAAGCTCTGAACTTTCTCACCTCGGGCTACTCGACCTCGCTGGACGACGTTGTGTCGAATGCCGTGTTTGATGAGCAGCACGATGAGATGGTCATTGTCCGCGACATTGACCTGTTTTCCATGTGCGAGCATCACATGCTGCCGTTTGTTGGTACCGTCTCTATCGGCTATCTGCCCAACGGCAAGGTTCTTGGCCTGTCCAAGCTGGCGCGCATTGCAGAGATGTTCGCCCGTCGGCTGCAGGTTCAGGAGCGGCTGACCCGCCAGATTGCAGAGTCGATCATGGAGGTCATCGAGCCGCGCGGCGTGGCGGTTGTCATCCAGGCCTCGCACCAGTGCATGACCATGCGTGGCGTGCAGAAGCCGCACTCGGCGACCATCACCTCGTGCATGCTCGGCGAGTTCCGTGACAACGAGAAGACCCGCTCCGAGTTCCTTACCCTCCTCGGCCTTCCGCAGCGCTGGAACTCGTAGCTGCCTTGCGTGGCCGTCGTTGCTGTCGCCGCTGCCCGTGGCCACCGCCTGCTTCAGCCGCCGCGCCGGCATCATCAGCATCATGACCGCGGTCTGTACTCTCGCTGCCTGCCTGAGCCGGCGAGAGCGTCCGCAGCGCCTCGCCCACCCGTGACGGCCGCTCAAATGAAGGATAGTACGCATCGAGTGAGGAGGCCTCGTCAAAGAGTGAGCTCGGGCGCGGGCGGCGGACGGCAGCCGCCAGCTGCGCCTCAGCGGCGTGCTCGGCAGCGGCCCGCACCCGGCGACGGAGCTCCGGATCCATAGGCGGGAGGAGCGATTCCAGCGGTACGGCGGGCGCAGCAGTCCGACGGCTTGGTGGCGTCCGGTGCCGCGGGAACGACGGCGGCGGGGTGCGTCCGAGCCGGATCCGCTCACGAGCAGTATCGGCTAGATACTGTGGCGGCGGAGCGGTGCCAGCCACAGCTCGTGCCAGCAATCGCGCTGCTTGGATCTCCTCCTGCCTCAGCGGCGACGGAAGCGGCGGTAGCGACGCCGGGCGCCCCGGCAGCGCGCGGCGAGAGGCCTTGACCGCTCGCTCGCGCAAGATTGAGGCGTGGAACTTGCGGCCACTGCCCCCAGCTGATGCCGCCACACCCGCATCTCTCCACACAGCCGAACGACGCGGCGGCGAGCGGCGATGGCGCAGCGTTGGCCGAACAGCGCCATGGACGGGCTTGTGGAGAACGAGGCGATTGGCGGGCGTTCTGTCCGGCGGCGACCAAACAGGCGGACGAAGCGAGCAATGAGGCCGAGACACCGGCGAACGAAGCGATGACGACGAGAGCGGCGGCGAAAGTGATGGCGGAGATGAAGGTGGCAGAGAGGATGACGGCGGAGTGGGAGATGCAGTTGGCAGCGGATCATCCGCACCAGGAAGAGCAGAAGTGAGAGTGCCAGCAGTTGAGCAGCAGACAACCGTATCGGGTGGCAGTTGCTCATCACTCACCGCCCTCTGTCCACGAGTGCTAGCCCTCGCTCGGTCTCGAGTATGAGCCAATGTCCGACGTAGTGCTCGTTGACCCTGTCCCTGATACCACATCCACCCCTTTTCCCCCCCGTCTTTCTATCTCCTCTCTTCTCGGCTGCCTCTCGTCGACGAGTGGTACTGCTCCTCGTTGCCGTTGCCTCCTCGCTCGCTCACCGACCCCTGAACCCCACAGCCCGCCCCATGGCGCAACGACTCGATCAGGAGCAGATTGGATGTGATTTTGGGCTGACGCCGACTCCGACCCTGTCACCCGGTGTTGCTTCGATGGATCATCGCATCGCGACTACTTTGCAGCACATACCGCAACTGGTGCCGCCGCTGCTGGCGTCGTCCAGTGGCAACTGCTGCTGCCGCTGCCGCTGGTGGCGCTGGTTATTTATCCCTCTCTATCATAACGAATACTACTACGATCACAACATAAACCAGGTCACTATATAGCACACAACATAATCTATCTGTTCATACCCATTTCGTCGAGATCATACTCTGCAATCGAGAAGATTAGAAGACTCAGAGAGTCCAACAGGAACTGCTGCAGCACGTCAGTTGGCGGCATTCGGCCAACAGGTCCCCCCTCCCCCCCCCACCCCCCCCTTTCCCTCCCTCCCCCCCCTCGTGGAACACCTGCTAGCCAGCCGACCACCCGACTCCCACCCAACAACCATGGCGCACGTGATCTTCTACATGACCAATGCTACCGGTATGTGTTCTTGTTCCCCCATTATATTGTGGCTGAGTAGTTTGCGGGGAGGGGGAGGGGAAGACAGCATCGGGTCGGGGGAGGGGCAGGACAGGGCGGATCTAGGGCGTTGGATCCGGAAAGGGCGCACCTAGGGCGTTGGATCCGGAAAGGGCGCGTGGTTGGTTACGGTATGGACTGTGGCCGGGAATGGGTGATGGGGATGGGTGATGACTTATGTGATGTGATGTGATGTGTGTTTGTGGTGGGTGCGGGTGTGGGTGCGGGTGGCGGACATGGTGGCGATTGACTCGGGTGGTGGTGGTGATCATGTCGGTGGATCATGGTAACGGTGGCGATGATGGTGGCGATGATGGTGGACGTGACGGTGTCGACTCGGTGGCGGCATGGTCGACTCGGATGTGACCCTGATTGTGACGATCATGGGGCACACCGTGACACAGGCCTCCGCAAGACCAAGACCGATATCCGCGAGACTCGCTACCTGCTCGATGCCAAGCGTGTCATCTACGAGGAGGTTGACGTCTCGTTGATGGACGATGACGAGCGTGCCGAGATGTGGGGCAAGAGTGGTACGAAGACCCTTCCGCAGGTCTTTGTCGACGACGAGTACATCGGTGGCTACGACGAGCTGCAGGAGCTCGAGGAGGAGGGCAAGCTTGATGCGGTGCTCAAGGTTGACCAGCAGTAAGCTGGCTCCACCGCCCTCAACCCTCTCCGACCTCTCTGCTCTTTCCTCCTTTACCGTGCACATACTCCAATCGGCGCCCTGCGGGCAAGGCCCTTGCCTCATCGCCCGGCTGCAGGCGATATCACGCCATTATACAGCCGCCACGCACATCTGCTGCCCCCTCGGCAGCTGCATAAACGCAAATCTGCCCCCAGAACTGCCCCCTCCCTCCCCATGGACAAGGGCATGGTTCTCGGACTCGACGCGACATCCCGCCGCTCACTGGACGGCGCGACGTGCACTCCTCTCAGCACCTCCCACACCAGGTCAGCGACCAGTCCAGAGTCGAAACTCAGGGTAGCGGTGGATGAGACAATGAGCACGGCTCCTGCGGCTGTGCTCCCTCAAGTGAGTGCTATTCCGGGCGGTAGCGCCCCGAGCATGGCGACAGACGGCGCGACGATTGAGTCGGCCGCCGCTACCACTGCCGCAGCGATGGCTGTCGAGGCGACCGCTTTGGAGGCGATGGCCGACGAGAGCGGCCGGCCGACAGTGGTATCGCGGGTGTGGTCGGATCTGGACAAGACCAAGTTCTTCTCGGCCGGTGCCGTGGCCACGGGCACGCTGCTTACCATCTTCCACCCGTTTGATGTCGTCAAGACGCTGCAGCAGACGGCGCACGGCCGCCCGCCACCGCTCCTCGGAACCATGGCGGCCATGGCTCGGACGTCGCCGCGATCGCTGTGGCGTGGGTACGCGCCCTCTCTTGTCGGCGCCTATGTCGTCGATCTGGTCTACTACCCGACGCTCGAGCTCCTCAAGGAGGGCCTGCTCAGCGCCGGCTTTGCCTCGCCGGCGGCCCACGGCGCGTCGGCGCTCATTGCCGAGGCCGCGTCCAACCTCGTCATCGTTCCGTTTGATGTCATTACCGTCCGGCTCGTCACCGCCGCCGCTGCCGGCCGCCCGGCCAGTAGCACGGCCGCCATCGCCGCGGACATTGTCCGGACGCAGGGCGTCGCGGGCCTCATGCGCGGCTACACTCTGACCGTGGCCACGTACGGCATCGAGTCGGCCATGTTCTGGGCCATCTACGCCTGGCTCCGCGACGCCGGCTATGCGCTCCTCCATCCTCCCGACCAGCCGTGCGCTGCCATGGAGGACCGACCGCTCATCCATGCGGCAGCCGGCGCGGTCGGCGGCGCAATCGCCGGCGCTGCAACCAACCCTCTCGATGTCATCAAGACCCGGGTCCAGGCCTCGACAGCCGTGGTCTCGCCGATCTCGTCACTCTCGGCCTTTCGCGCCTACGTCGCCGCCATGGTCGCCAACGAGGGCTGGCGGGTCTTCGCCAAGGGCATCCCCGGCCGGGTCGGCTTTCTCGCCCCGACCATGGCCGCCACCGTCACCCTCTACGAAATGGTCAAGGAGTTTGCCACGGCCTGATGCTGCAGAGCAGGAAGGACGCAATGAAGAAGGCTGCGCGGGTGTAGAGTGTCTTTACAAAGGGTACACCAAGGCCTCGCGCGCGCTGGCGACCGCCGCCATCGGCTTCGACGCACAAAGCGAGGCCTTGCGCCAGTCGGTTCAAGCAGACGCTGCCGGACCGTGTTCGGCTAAGAGGCGCGGAAGTAGGGCTGGCTGGCCGGAGCGATGATCGACGCGAGCCACTTGAGGACGAGCCAGAGGACCAGGACAGAGATGCCGACAATGGCAGCCATCTGCTTGGGCGTCACAGTCACGGTCAGCTGGCTATGGTTTCCAGCTCGCCGCGCCGCGCTCTCGGCACTCGATCGCCCGCTCGAGCTCTTGGCCCGCACCGCCGCCGCCCGAGCCCGGATCTCCTCCAACGAGGCGCGGATCTGCCTCGCCTCGGCCGCCAGTGCACCTGCGGCATGCGATGGTGAGTCGGGCATCAGCTGCTTTGACACCGGATCGATGCTCGACGGAGACTGCGAGAGCGCCCGGATCAGATGCCGCGGAGTGGCAGTAGCGCCCGCACCAGGACCAGCCGCCGTCGTCGTCGTCGTCGACTTTGCCGGAGTCGCCGTACTCGCCGTCGCCAGCAGTCGGCTCTCGGGACGGGCTGCGCCTGGTGTGGCGGTTGAAGCAGCGCGCGTAAACAGAGACTTGACGCCGTCACCACGGGTTGGGGTCGGTGCGTCGGCTGTGCTCATGACTCGACCTGCCGAGAGTGCGGTGTGCCCCTGCCCTTGACCGTCGGCACACCCAGCTTTGGCGCCATGATTGATGGCCGCAATTTTCAATTGGGCGCTCCACGCGTTCGTCCACACCGTCGCCAGCGCGCGGGTGAGATCGCTTCGATCGTTGGCCTGATCGCCCGCCTGAGATTAATAAGGGATAGGAATGGATGTCTGGTTGGTTGGCTGGGAATGGTTGGTGTGTGATGAGGCCATAGCCGGCCTAGGGAGGCTGCCTTTGGCTCGAAAGCTCTGATATGAGCAACATGGGTAGAGCGCGGCTGATACCGTCGACGATCAAGCAGGTGGGGTGTGGATACACATCTGACATGTGGTCCTGCCGCCGCTAAAGCCGCATCGTGACGGTACAGCCTTGACCATCCCACCCTGCACGCTCTGTCGTCGATCAAGCAGGTGGGGTGTGGATACACATCTGACATGTGGTCCTGCCGCCGCTAAAGCCGCATCGTGACGGTACAGCCTTGACCATCCCACCCTGCACGCTCTGTCGTCGATCAAGCCAATCTGGTCAAGTTCAGCAGCCCCGCCCGGCACCGTGGCAACCTCGACCCACACCGCACCCACCCTGCCCACCCGGCACTCCCACACCAAGCTCAGCTGATGTTCACTTTCTGATCATCCCACACTTTACCTTTCATCTCCCGGTTTGCACATCCACGCCCGCATCAACACCGCCCGCATCAGGCTGCTTAATTGGCATTCCACCCAAAGTCGCTGTTCCGTTTTTTTTTGGGGGGGAAATCCAATCTCCTCCGCATTCCGTTGACTCTTTGTCACGTTTGCCGTCCTTAGCAGACCCGACGCGTACGCACACCTATCTCCCCCCCCCCCCTCCCCTTCCCGCGCCCTCTCCCCTTCCCGCCCTCTCCCCTCTCTTGGGCCAACCTCTCACTCTCTGATATATCATACGCATCAGTCGATAGAGTGTCTGGTTGGCTCCCTCCACCCAGGGCCGTGCAC